AACACCCCCATCCCCCAACCCCACCCCAACCCCAGCGGAAAAATGAATATACGAATCCTAATATATGTCTGTCTCAGAATCATTTTCGATTGAGTAACTCACACGACGATGAGACATTCTACAATAAATAATGTTTTAATTGTATTTCATATCAGCATACATAGTTTTCAAAGGGCACATTCAGTATGCCAATATAAGCAGTGTTTTTTTTGATGATTCATCGCCGTACCAGAGTACAAACAATTACGCGCCTGTTTTACTTTTTATTGAAATCATCACTGTAAAAGACATAACCTCAGGGGCTTGACCTTTGTAAAACATTTAGCAAAAAAGAATGTTTTGCCAACGTAACATGTATGTAATTATATTTAAGAGCCGAATACGGAAACAGAAAAAATACCTCTCTTCTTGCCTGAATGGACATTAACACGAAAAACAATTAGGTTTCCTTAATAAAATAAAAAGACTCCAGGACTAGCGTGCCTTTTCTCCCTTTTTCTTTTAACCTTGATATATTCCTCCAAAAACTGTTGCACGACTATTTAATGTTTTCATTCCTGAAGTTAAAACAATTTACGTTAACCAACGTGAATGAATGTATATACAAACATTTAAAAGTCAAGTTAGACTTTTAATAAGATCCATAGGATTTCTTCAAGGAAACGTAATCCACGCCCTCTGATTTTCTTTGAATGCCACGTGAAAAGGGAAACTCCCCTAACCTGTTGTAATTTGGTGGTGAAAGGGGTTTAATTTAAACCAAGGGTACCTACATGTAGAACATCCAAAACTTGTTATCGGATTATTGTAATTATATCTTTAATATTGTCAATTACCGAAAAAGGCCAAAACAATTTTTGTGTTTTTGCAATAAATCATCCTAAATCGGCTTGGTAGGTAGGTATAGGCCTTTTTTTCGGAAAACAGTTGCTTATACCACGGACTTCTATTCTAATTCTGTGCTTATACAGAGCAAGTGGTCTGCCTTTAACACTGCATATCACTAAATGCCAATAAAAACGTAGAGGTAGGCACAGACATCTAGGGTAGGTAAGGTTAGCGGAAGCACAATATTTTTATAATTGGCCTGAAACCAGAGACTATCATTCTAAATTTCACTTTCAGACTGCGGTGGTTACGGGTTACAGTGTGGGGATTATCAAATGTTAACTGTATGTGTAATAATACTATACAAACAGCATAATTCACCTGATATTTATTTTATATGAAACTGTTTTCAGTAAACTGTCGTTTATCACGATAAAAAAAACGAACTGTAATCTGGCGTCATTGAAATGTTTCATGATTTTGTAAAAATGAAAATTAATTTACGTTTCTATTTTCAGGTTTCCATAACGTGATGCCATAGCACCGTCGCCATGGAAACGTTCCTCGTTGTCGCTGTGCTTTTTCTAGCCGTTAGTGTTAATGTTATACTTGGAGCTACAAAAGAGTTCGCTGTATCGTGGTATGACGGCAGAGAACACGTGTTTCGTTACAACTGGACAAATTATGGAGAGTGTTTATTCACATCAAACCCGGATATCCTAAAGTGCATGGGGAGTTATACTTACAAAGCAATCAGCGACATCTGGCGGTATGACCCGGAAGCAATTAGTTATGTCTCCGTAAGATGTCAGCAACAAGAATATTTCGCCGACCACCGCCACGTGTGTATTTGTAAAAACGGTACAGGTGCCGCTAATCCCACGTCGTCAAGGCAACATGACATATTCTATTTTTGTCAGGTGACAAAACTCTTCGCCAATACATTCGAGGACATGATGGCATTGGAGACCCTGGACCTGTCCGATAACTCGATAACGAGTGTCGAAGGCGAATCTCTAAAGGGTATAACGAGCCTTAAGTACCTTAACATGGGACGTAATCCATTAGTGTCACTTCCGGACGGGTTGCTATGCGACGTCCCAACTTTGGAAGTGCTGTCTTTGGAGAACACCAGGATGACATCATTTCCGGCGCACGTGTTTGACTGTGGAAAGACGTTCCCTAATCTAACCTATATCGATTTAAGTGACGGGGTTATCGCCTCCATATTTACCGACTCCATGAAAAATCTTCAAAATCTCAAATCACTCAATCTCAGTTGTAATTTATTATCTCAATTTCCATCCAGAACATTTGCGACATCAACAAATCTGGAATACTTGGATCTTTCCCGAAACGAATTCATTTCTTTCCCAATCGGCGTTTGTGAACATGCGGTGTCTCTGAAGCATTTCAAACTTAACGAGAATCATTTTAAAATTCTTAACATGACAAATCTACAGGAATGTTCGAATGTAACGTATCTGGACATTTCCTCGAACCAACTCCTCAACATTATAGGAACACTCAACAAGGCAATGGCAATAGAATATTTAAACTTGTCACATAATTTTATTCAAGAAATCGGCGACAATCATTTTGGAAATTTTGTAAAACTTTCGGTTTTAAACTTGGCTAAAAACGATATTGTAGCAATATCCCAGCATGCTTTGAAAGGACTACCTTCTTTAAATTCCCTGAATCTATCCGGAAACAAGCTAAGCAACAGTTCCGCTTTGTCGCTAGTGTTCCGCCACTTGGAAAACCTAACCGAACTCTGTCTGACCGGAAATGACCTTCAGAATTTACCAGACGGCATGTTTGAATCAATGGTGAAATTAAAAACACTCGACCTATCCCAGAATTCCTTGAAATCTCTGAAAAGCGAGGCATTCAGGGGACTTGTGTTTTTGACAAATCTCCGACTTTCGTCAAACCGTATCACAGATCTTTCTGCGGATGTTTTCCAAAATCTCCGATTGCTTGATAAACTAGACTTATCAAATAATGTCCTCATACACTTTGACGACATTGTACTCCCCGGGATGGCCTTGACCTTTAACATAAGCAACAATAAACTGATGAACTTTCCCAATTCATTCAGACAAACAAAAGTCGTGACGCTTGACCTTCACGCGAATAGCATTGTCACTTTGTCTAGTATATCTACGGCGTCATTGCAATCAATAACATTTCTCGATCTGAGTCAAAACAAAATTTCAAGGATAGAAGAAGGCGCATTTGAAGGTCTTAACAATTTAGAAGTGTTGAATTTAACACGTAATCAACTAACTGTGAATTTAAGTTTAAACGTTTTTAGAGGATCATCCAAATTACTCGACCTTGACCTTTCTCACAACAACTTGACTAGTGTGGATTTCATGTTTTCTAACAACACTTTGGACATGGTCAAAACTTTACGTCTTGACCACAACCCCATAGACACAGTGTCGGACATGACCAACAAAGCGTTTAACAAGTCCAGTCCGGCGCTGGAAACACTCGTTATTTCTTTCTGCAGAATCAGGAACATCTCAAAATATGCCTTCAAAGGTTTCCGAAAATTATCTACAATCGATATGTCGAATAATCTAGTCCAGGAAATAGAACCATTGGAGACGAAAGTCGGGACTCAGTTTAATCTTCGAGGAAACCCGCTACTTTGCACGTGCGTCATGAAGTGGCTGGCTGACCCCTACGTCATAGTTGACGGTAACACACTGCATACACATGACTACAATGTCGGCACATGTGAGGTGTATCCGAAAGGGTACAATGTATCACTCCGACAGGTTGCGAAGGACGACTTCCTGTGCCGTACGGAAACTGGATGTGATTCGAACTGTGACTGTTTCTCGTGGGATAGAAATGGACCTGTCGTGACTTTGGCTTGTACTGAAGGTTTAGAAAATATACCGTCCGATATACCGCACTCGGCCGTTGACCTATATTTGGACGGAAACAAGTTTTCTACTCTCAGCGCCACTGTTGGAGGTGCGACCGCGTTACAAGTGGAGAATCTCTACCTGAACATAAGCGGTATAAGAGAGATAGCCGTGAACGTATTTACAAATCTGAAATTGTTAAAAGTACTAGATCTGTCTAATAATAGATTGTCAGATATTTTACCACTTACATTTCAATATCAGAATGTATTACAACATTTAAATTTGTCAAGTAATTTTCTTGCCGCTCTTGTGCATAATACATTCAAAGGTTTAAACGCGTTACGTAGTTTGGATTTAACCAAAAATGAGTTCCAGGTAATAGATGCTATATCAACAACCGAATTGTCGCGATTTCAAAATGCATTCTACGTTTTACTCGGCAAAAACCCTTATCGCTGCACATGCGCAAACTCCAACTTCCGGCAATGGCTGAATGCTTATTCAAATCGCGTTCGCGATAAAAAGGAAGTCCGATGTGACGGCAACGGACGGGAAATGAAATTGATGTCTCAAGAACACTTTAAATGTTTAGGTTTGGAGAACACTTCCGGTAGCGGAAAGTCGACTGTGATAATTGCTGTCATAGTAAGCGTGGTCATACTGGTTGTGTTGGGAGCCGCCATTTTTTATTACAAGCGAGATTTGTTGGCGGTTCTGTACACCAAGTTACACATTGGCTGTCTGAGGCCAAACACTGACAGCTCCAAACAAAGTGACGCCTTCATTGTTTACAACACCAACGACTCGAAGTGTAACGAGTGGGTGAGACACATGTTCATGCAGAAACTTGGTCGGAAGCGGAACTACAAGTTCAGCTTCCCTGACAGGATTCAATTACTACAGAGCGTTCACGTGGCGGACTCGGAAAGCCACCAGCCGTACGACTGTAAGTGCGCAGTGTTTATAATCAGTTACAGCTTTATGAATAGTAACTGGGCAGCCGAGTCTTTCCGAAAGGCTTGGCAGTATTCCAAGGAGAACAAAAAGTTCCGAGTGATTTTAGTAATATTTGGTGATATCAATGTCGGTTCACTTCTTCCGGAAATGAACCAGATGCTCCGCGCCGGAGATTACATCACAGCTAGGTCACGAGCAGTATGGGATAGACTTATTTACGAACTTCCGGATCCGCAAGGGGGAAGTGGGGCGCATCATGATGATGACGTTTCAGAATCTGACGTCATTCTGTACAACGCGCAAAAGTACCAGACACTTGACGATACTGACATTATAATAGGAACGTGATGCTATTTTTAGATTATGTATGGATTTTATCGTCTTTGTGCGTGCTATTGCTCAAAACAAACTGCAGCTTATGTTCATTTGCAAAATGATTTGTTTGTATAAGAATATTTTGATTTCTCAGCTGGTGTCCAGTATTTGCCGGGGTTGAGAACCCTGTGATTCTAAAACCAATAACTTTGTGTATCATTTATCAAATTAATTGAAGCAATATTCTATAGAGTGTACAAGAAGGATTGATACCCGGGTATTTTTGTCTCGGGTCCTTACGTGGGCGCCAATGTTACAGAGGTCATTATTTGTTCAATTTCTCCGCTAGGAGTCGAAACCGGGACCTCTGGTTTACTAGTCTTATGCTCTACCGAATAAGCTGAAGAGATATTCTCTCTAGCCGAGTCGGTAGGAAGTGGCTATTATTTTACCAGGGTGACTTTTGTTTATCTCAAGCAATGTTCAATAAAAATATATTTGTATTTTATTATCTGGTCTGTGCTGTAAGTGATAATGGTTGATTCACGTCCTGTATATCACTTCTCCGTGCTGATTACTTTTCTTTTCGATATCAGTCAAGGTTACAGATTCATTGATGACGTCATTGTTTGATTGATGTTTTCATTACGAATCTCGGGAAATGTTTACAGTTACTTGTTTTCTTTCATTAATGGAAAGTGACGTCATCATCAGTGAAATTCCCTCGTTTTTCTATGTAAACTTTATTAATTCAGTATGTGTGGAAACTGAAAGACAATCAAAAAAATAATAGATAAGTAAATATTTTCTTGAAACAGGAACAGAACAATGTGTAGCACTCTCCAAATAATATAACGGGATCTAGTCACGTTCAACGCCAAACATCCATACCTTATTTAGATCGGATTGATACACGCGTCTCGCTCACACAGTAATTAAGGATGCTCATCCGGTACAATGCAAAAACTACAAAATGCATCAGGCTACTATTTTTTAAATGTTATTTTTAGAAAACATGAGAATCACAACATTGTATTTGTAATATTTGCAATATAGATACATAAATTGTTCATGTGAATGTCTCTGAAGGGGTTTAACATGTCTATGTTCCGTTTCATATTTTCTACCGTATCGGTAGACAAGTCTCGTCTCTTATCAAAGTTGATGTGTTTCACCATATGACATACATATATAGATAGCATATTCCGTCTTTGCGTATTGCAGAGTTATCTTCTCTTGGGAGCAGGTATTGATTGTTGCGTCATTGGTTTGTGTGAGAAAATTGGGTCGCTTTCTCAAAAAATTGATGACGTTACTCTCACAAACAAGTGACGTAACAATCAATACCTGCTCCCAAGAGAAGATAACTCTGCAATACGCAAGGACGGAATAGATGTATCTATGATACTTGTTCCAAAACTTTCCTATGTAATGCCTTGTAATATATATTAATGCCAACTGTTTAAATGTGCTGTAATTAAAACGGAGAGGAACGTTTTTTTTGTTGTTCTTGTTTTAAATTTCAAAATTATTTAAAATTGATAACGCAGAAGCCCGATTAGAAGTGTCGTAAACGGAATTGGCAAATAATATTCATAACACAGAACCAGAGAAAAGGCCCTGGGCAGCTATTGAACAAAGGCAGTGGATATAGTGCCTTGACATAAATATGGAATGGAAATTTGTCAACATATATACACCTCTTCCGAACGTATACGGAAAATTGAATAGCATGTCTAGGGTCTTTCCGTATAGAGATGTGAGCGACATAAAAAACGACATACGGCATCATTAAATTCTGGCAGAATTGTCAAACGAAACCTCAAAGTCCCCGTGACATCTGTCTTTCTTTATGAAGACTGAGATGGAAATGTGAAAACTGTAAAAGGGCTACGGTTTGAAAGTATAAAGCAAAGGTATAAATGGACAAAGGCAGATGAAAACGTCAAATTCACTGTGGTAAATAATTGGATTGTGTATTATAATCTTTATACTACTGTGGTTTGAGAATACTCAGGAAGAAGTTGAAAACAACTTGAGAATGGGTTTTCCCATTTGGGGCTGTATTTTCTGAACAAAACAACGTCTGATCGCGCCAGATGACGGCCTCAACCAGAAATAGTATCCACACAAAGTTGATCCGCGTAAGTAAATAGTGCATCGTAAACAAATCATAAAAAAGTTATGAAAAATATTATGATTTTTAAACATAAATCTGCATATGTAAAAGAGGCCAATGACGATTATTTTGTTTTAATAATATCTTTCTACATACTTTTAAGGTCAATGGTATTCCTCCGTGCAAATCTCCTATTTGTTTCCGTTTGTCACAGACATACAGTTGACTTTTTGTGAACGGAGAAATATATAAGGTAGCAGAATGAAGATGATTATCAGTTTATCAACATCGTTCGGGCTTACTATCACAGACGGGTTATAATATTATATATGTGACTGTTAGGAATTTAAGGCTGATTTTTCAGGCCAGCTTATTTTGAAATCAGGATAGATATCGAGATTATTATTCTGGGAAAATTAATCATACGTTAGTTTACTTTATTAGCTGAAGGAATACGACAAGGTGCCCGATTTGGCTGTTCCCGATCATGATCAGTGTTTAAAATAAACAAGAGCTTTCAGTCTCTACACAGACGGACCCAAACAACCAGTATGATGCACTCATCATTCTCATAACATAATGTAGGTAAATCAACTCGCTATGCTTAAGATACACTTTGGTTTCGAAAATACACAAAGGAAGTCTTATCAATCATAAAGGAATTGTTTGTTAATTATAACTCATTGAAACGGTATTTTGTTTATATATTTATTATAAAATATTTTACTTCATTTTTTATTTCATTTTTTATTTATAATCAAAATTTGTGTAAAGTGTCCAAAAAAATTCAAAAATGTTACTTTTTTGTGCTAATTATTTCTAGTTCTTTCCTGGGCACAGTTGTATGTAGTGGTTTATTGGTAAAGTTTATAGATTTGGCTGATCGCGATGATTCATTCCTACAAGTATGAGCTATCATATTATGGACAGGTCTTCAATCATTTCTTCAGTGATCAACTTATGTCGTTGCATTTTCAGGTCAAGGTAAGATAATTTTAATACAGAACTTAAATAGTAATGTGCCTTTTTCGGTGTAGTTGTATTGTGCGTCAATTACACACTAAACCTGAAGTTAAACATTTATATGGTGGCATATTTCTGCCATCCACTTGCGACTTACGAGTTACGTATGTCGACATAATTATTGAAAGATGTCGACATAATCTGAGAATATGTCGACATAATCTGAGAAGATGTCGACATAACTTTTAAATTATGTCGACATATTATCACATTTGCCGAGATAATTTTGCCGAGATAATTATCTCGTAAGTGGGTAACTCGGCTTTTTATCGTGTTAATGCTCGGGTGTGACATCGACTTACGACTTGCCACTTACGACTTATTTATGTAAAATCCCTCTTTGATTGATAAACTCTGTACATCATAGTAACCTACTGTAATATCCATATCTTTGATTTCCCATATTTACATTGATTTTACCAAGTTACTCACCAGTATAGTCACCACTGTTCAGTCACCATCAGCCCACCTTCGCGGTCCTCGTGCACAAGCCTCGTTTTGGTAAGTCGGCAATAATCTACTAGGATGTCGACATAAATAAGTCGTAAGTGGCAAGTCGTAAGTGGCAAGTCGATGTCACACCCGAGCATTAACACGATAAAAAGCCGAGTTACCCACTTACGAGATAATTATCTCGGCAAAATTATCTCGGCAAATGTGATAATATGTCGACATAATTTAACAGTTATGTCGACATCTTCTCAGATTATGTCGACATATTCTCAGATTATGTCGACATCTTTCAATAATTATGTCGACATACGTAACTCGTAAGTCGCAAGTGGATGGCAGAAATATGCCACCATACATTTATTTAAGAGATGATTTAGAAATACATTGGCTTGAAAATTTGTAAAAACACTAACTTTAAATTGTTTATATTTATTTTAAATATCAAACTATTGTATCAATTAATGTAAATTACTCTTGTTGGCCCAAAAGATAGATCTAAGGAAGTGTTTATGAGGCACGGTAGTCTAGTGGTAGGACGCCGGGCTCGTGACCGAAGGGTTGCGGGTTCGAGTCTCGTCACGGCACTGTGTTGTATCTTTGAGCAAGATTTTTTACTCCGATTGTTCCAGTATACTCAGCTGTAAATGAGTACGTGGTTGGGTAGTGCTAGATTTGTAAAATACTAGCTGTGAGCGCCGAAATGGCAGCATCGGCTGTATGCTTCCCAGTGAGTTGAGAAAGATATTGGCTGGTTGCAAAGGCCCTATAACCACGGATAATAATTTGTGAACTGCTTTGAGACGACCTACGAACTAGGTTGTGATAAAGCGGTATACAAGAACCTCGAATTATTAATAGTATTAATATTTATGTGGGGAAAACACCAAAGTTCCCCGAGAAAAATCGCGTGGCAAATAGGTGATCCATGTTTTTGATTTGTACAGTAGTGACTGACCACAAAATCAGGATCGTCCATCATCAACATACAAATGCATTTCTTGTTCAACAATATTTTCCAATGTAGAAGGCCCTGCAGCAGCTAATGTCCTACCAGGACTGACCACAATGGTAAACCTACATTAAAATGTCATTATTTTTTTAAAAGACACATTTCGATACGGTTATGCGCAAAATCGCACCCGTCACACATTATTTTGACACCGGTCAATCAAATCGCTATCCACAATTTTCCTCATTTGAGCGTACGCTAAACATTAAGACAAACTGTTGAAATATTGCTATGCTAGATGTTAGGGAACGCAAGAGCAGGTAGAGAAGAAAGGAAGGATAAAGAATCCGAAATGTTCGCTATGGGTGCAGAAAATCTCGTATGCTAAGTAAGTAGTTGTTGTACATAACAGCAGCTTACTTCATCCTGACGCACGAAATATACCACAAAACTCAAGTAGGTTACTAATCCAGGCATTGGACATCGAACATCAACTTCATACCGTCATGACGATATACAAGTTTCCAAACACGTAACTCTTGATAAATTCAGGCGAAAATAACGACATTATTACGCAATCTTGCAAGCAAAACCTCAGACTTTCAGTTCCAGAAAAAAACTGCAAAAACGTTATGGTCTCTGTGTAATTTATGAGTGAATGACCGAGTAAGGATGTGAACAGCGTACATGTTAACTTAGCGACTGTCTCCAATAAACGACATATATCGGTTATATGCAGTATTTAGTATGATGAGGATGAAACCGTTACGTGCAAGTTCGAGGAAAGAATAGGCCTGTTGTTCGTGTGAGCCGACTAATATAGAGGGCCCCTGTAGAACCAGGGTCGGTTTCTTCTGTCGTCTGATCAGGTGATATTGACGAAACCAGGAATAGACCTGCTTTGTCCCATTGTAGGTGTATCGTAAATGGTAAATAATGTGGAGCCCACTGTAGATTCAGGAGTTTGCATCAGTGTCTTTTACGACGAGACTAAAATTGTAGTACTTTGGATCTTTTTGGTTTCCTATCCTTGTCGCCATGCTACATTTCTCGTTCAATTCGGCAGCAGTGACATTGTTTTTTCTCTTTCCCTTCTTTCGGAAAGGTTTTCCTGCGGGGGATGGAAGACGTTTTAATATTTAGAAATTTAGGCTAACTGGCAGGTGCATTTTGTATTATGAACCAAATTTATAGTTTTATTTTTGGCAAAAATAAATGTGAGACATTTGTTTGTAATTTATCAAAACTTTTTTTATTAAAAAATATAATAGTTTTGGAAAATATGTTTGCATATGTTTGCAAGTCCTACGCAAGTCGACATCTACGAAACCCTGTCTTTTCAGACCATTACGTTTCGGATTAACTTTTGCGCAGCGTGGGCGGTTAGAAATAAAGTCCAAACGATACGAATACGACTTACACTAGTTTTAAAATGAAAAGCAGGCACAAGTGGTGTGTAGTAGTAAGAAAAGAAAAAAGATTAGATAGACCTCAAGATTGCATTTTGGTTCTTCTCACTAGGCCAATACGGCTACCGTAGCGGCCCCTGGGTATACACCCAACCGGCACAGCTCTAATCTTCACTAGAACTTACTTACAATCTGGACCCTTAACATATTTAGAAGTTGAGTGTTGACAACCCCCGATTGAAGGATACCAAGTCGGGGGCCTCGGCTACAGTTGCTGGCAATAGGTTCCATATGGGAATGA